ACACCAAAAAAATTGCACCTTTAGAGAATTTAAGGTCTCCTAGACCCCGGGAGTGCACAAGATAATGAACAGCCAGGGTAATACACACAGATATTTACATATGAATACTGTGGACGCGCCCCGAGGGCTTTATGCTTTTCCACAATTCGGACTCTATATGTCACGATTCTTAATCTGATCTCACAATGTGCGATGTGGGATTGATAAATCACCAAAGAGTCCAAATCCGGCAAATCATTTTGGAAAACTGATTTTTAAGAAAGAAGTGTCAAACATGGACTGCTTTGCCAGATACAGAGTCACTACCTAAATATTTTGTTTTGGGAAAATTTAGGAAACCCTGACTCGTGCCTAAGGCCACGTGTCCGTCATCACCAAAGTTGCCTCGGCTCGGGAACTTGGGTGCGATTGGGGAAGGTCATCTATGAGCACCCCCGCTAGCCCGATCCGAAGATCGGCCTGTACTAAGCATGATATCGAGTTTTGAAAACATATGTGTTCTTATTCCAGTTAATTAGCTAATCTTACTATGTGATGCGCACAACACACAAGTATAGACTAGATCGCCTGATTTGGAACAAAGCATCGCATATCCGTTTTGTCTTGGAAAATGGTTTGAAGTTTGCTACTCATAAGTAGGCTAAAACATGGGTTTCGATGAATTATTTCAATTCAAACAACCCAACCTTCACCCACAGGCATTCAGGCAATTATATCACATAAGCAGTTAGCCTCATGGCAAGCATGCTTTCATGTTAACACTCACATACATATAAGATGCTAAAGCATAAACACTTACAGTGTACTCCGAGCCAAAACAAGGAACATGTTAGTAATCAAATGTATGATCCAAGTCCATGTTAAGATGGCTAATGCAACACATACAAAATGCGATTAGAATAGGCTCGGCTAATCTGGGATGGCATATGATATGCGGCAATTTGATACACGTATTCAAGTTGGAATTGAAATACTATGCAGTTAGTATGATGCGCCGAGCCCGGTGTATGCAATACAAATGAATGAATGCAAACATGCACAACATAAGGTATGCTAAATCAAATGTGCCCTAAAACTAACCATCATAAGCGGTTAAATAAAAGGGAGAAATAAGTGGGGGTTGGAAGACATGCATCACACACACGCACGCTTATTACACAATTGCGCCCTCTCGAGGGAGGGACCGAAAGAATAATACAAATTAATTAACTAACAAGCTAACTAAATATTACACAACACTTAACTAATTAAACAAATTAATTAAGCTAAGAAAGCAGTAAAGAGGCCTCGAGAAGAGGGATGAATGCGTGCACGCTTGGCTCCGCTCAAAAATCCATTGCCATACTCATGCTGCCTCTATTTACACTGATCTGTACTTCTGAAAACTTCACAAGTCCTAGTGAAGCTTCAGAATCACTCCCTGAGTACTATGGGATGCCACCGGCCAAGAGAAAACAACACCGGTGGAAGTATGGTCATCGACCAAAAATGGGATCACCGGCACTATTTTGGTAGTCGGCTGGCACTGAGAGTTGCCGACCGACCATTTCCTCCTACAGAACACTGGTTTTGCTGCAATAGAGGACAGAAAGAACATGTCGATTCATTTTCAAAGCAATTTATGCACCACCACCCTCCTCAGCATGTTTGAGACTTAGAGGAGCATGGTTCTCGACCCTCGGACCATTAATCACGCATTTCGATGCATGATGGCCCAAGGTGCCAAGTGTGCATTTCAATATGGAATGAAATGCATATAACACATAAAGGATCCCAACCTCTATCATGATTGATCAAGAGGCAAGGGATGCATGCTTAAAGCTATGCAACCTAGACATGCAAGCAAGCTAATGCAACATGAGCATGCAAACAAGCAATGTGCAATAGGCATACAACCTAAACAAACAAGCATGTAAAGCATGTAACAACAATGCCAATGATGAACATGCAACAACATGTGAGACAAACATGTGACAACATGTTAAGTAACTAAAAAAAGAGAATGCACGCCAAATGCATTACAACTTAAGCATGCAACAACATGTCATGAATTAAGTACACAACAAGGCACAATTGAACTAGCATGCTACAACATGCAATTTACCGAATATGCAACAAGTATGTTACAACATACGAGGCAAGCATGCAACAACATACGGGGATGGTCTTAAACCAAAATGGGCAGCTCTCAAATAAGCCCAAATCAGTGGCCAAAGTCAAGAATTGAAGGTATGAAAATGCAAAACAATCATGCACATGTGAATGGTCCAACACTTAGGCAACAATGCACAATCCTCAAGCATGAGCAAGATGTGATAAATATGAGAATATGACAATGTATTAAGCTTTGAAAATATGTGAGGAATGATGCCAAATCAACCAAATAAAGCAAGCAAAGCATGCAAGAAGGTCCAAGGCCTAAGGCTAACCAAAGGGCTCAAACCATGGCTACATGAAGCAAGCCCCAAAGGGACAAGGGGACCTAAAACAGTCCCAAATCAAGCTAAAGTGAGCTTAAAACATGCAATGACTGAAGCCAAAATAAGCCAAAATGAAGGGGCAAAATCATGAGGCATGCAAGGCCATCAAAGAGGTGTTGCACTACACCTAATACAACCAAACATGACATGATTTAAGCAACCCAAAACAGAGTTATGACATGTCAAAATGAGCCCAAAAACCCACTTAGATGGCATCCCAATGACCTGAGCATGATGCCATACATAATGACACATTCATGAGGCATACAACACAAACTCTTTAAGACATTAAAGGAGTGATAAATGTAAGTTCGTAAGCATGAAATATGGACTGAAATAACATTCTAAGTGATGCCAAACTATTGAAATGATCTGCATAGAGCATGCTAGCAACTTGAATACTCAAAGCTAACAAGCTAGATTACATGGTAGCTATGCAAAACAATGCAAGCATGGCCAAATCAATGAAAAACAGAGCTTAAGCATGCTACAACAAGCCTAAAAGCTTCATGGAGTTGGGCCAAAATCATGCTAAAAGCACATGTTACAACATGATGCATGTTAAGGCCAAATCATGGGATTACAAGACAAGTGTATGAAGCATACATGGCATGTCTAAATCAACTCAAAACAGAGGTGTATCATGGCAAAACAAAGCCTAATATATGCTGAAATGGATCTAAAACAAGCTAGGTAAACATGCTACAACATAAGCCATTTATGCAAGCTTTAAAGACAACAAGGAGAGGGGATGACCCTCTCATTTTCAGGACCTCAAAACCACTTCTCCACCACTGAAAATCCTCTGGATTTCAGTGGTAGAGAGGTCATGCAAAGACCAAAACAATAGCCAAAAGGTATGGCCTAACAAGGCCTTGGAGGGGGGAGACAACCCCAAACCTCAAAGTGACCTTAAACAAAGTTCTAAAGAACACAAAATCAAAACTTTTATCAGTTATAGTCAAAGCTTAAAACAATATGCAAGATGGGCTAAAAGCTTGTGCAAAAATGGGGAATAAAAAAGTATGTTCTCACCTTTGAAGAACCTCTTCAAGAACACCACCCCAGCACCTTCCTTGGATCAAAACTTGCCCGAGAACCCTAACAACAACTACTTAGAGCCTTAGCAACCAAGGACGGTGTAACACTAGGTGTTTGTGTGCAATAGTGTGAACAAAAGTCACGTCAGAGCACAAAACACACACACAAAGGCAAAGAGAGGGAATTATAGAGATAGATAGATACAAACTTCCTAACCCTAATTCTCTGAATCTGGAGGAGGGAGGAGGGGCTCCCTCTTTATAGAGGTTCAAATCCTCAAGCTTCCAAGAGAAGCTAAACAAGAGGCAAATCCCTTCATACACGTGTATGGAGGGGGGGAAATGTGGATGGCATAAAATATCTGCCAAGAGCAGATGGAAAGGGGTCAGCTGGAAAATATGGCCGATTGACTAACAAAAATGGCCAGCCGACCAAAAACATTGCCGACCGACCAAAATATTTGGCCGGTAGCAAGAAAAGAGGGCTGGTGGCCTCAAGCCAAGGTCGGTGAGGTGTGGGGATGGCCAACAAGCCATTTCCTGCCCTCAGAAGCAAAAACACAAGTGTTTGGTATACAACCAAGCACAAAACAAACAAGTCGAGAGGTCTTGAGGCAAGGCGCGCAATCGAAGCCTCCGAGAACTCAAGACGAACACGAACATGGATGATCATCGACTGTTCAAACGATGACGTCCAAGTCTTGAGGACGGTCAAAAATGGGGTGTCTATAAATACACATATTCATATACAGACAAAATACATATGGTATACATATATACATAGACAAATGGAACACATACAGATATATACACAGACAAACGTACGCAAAACACGTAAAAGAAAGGAAAAAAACGAAATGCATGGATGTAGGGATACGGGGTATCGAACCCCTAACCTCAGGCCTAGCCTCTGAGTCCTCAACCATTGAGCCATGCCACTCTTGTGACAAAATACGCAAACAAAAAATATATATATCTATATAATAAGGCAAGAGACTTTTTGAAAATGTCTTAAATGTATGAGAGATACATTTTGAATTAAGGGTTGAGATCATACTTGGCAAGTATCTAAGGGTCAAGATAATTTCTTTGTTTTTGCTTTTCCCCCGAAAATGTGTCTTTTCACTTCCTCTATTTCCCTTTCCCATGTTAAGAGATAGATTCATATCTCTCTCTAGTTTTAGCTCCAGCAACTCTCCATTTTCCAGCAACTCTCCATTTTCCTCACTGGTTTTAGCTTAAATTTCTCTCTCGGTTTCGGTTCTGCAATCTCCAACAACTCTTCAGAGGTGACATTCCTATTCTCCTTTGCCGTTTCACTCTTCTAACCTATGAAATGGGTTGCAAATATGATGGGTTTTGATATCATTGAAATGGGTTTCTATTTCTGTATGTATTTCAAAAAATGTGATGGGTTGAAAATTTGATGGATCTCATAAAATAAATTTGAAATGAGTTACAAATATGATGGGTTTATATTATGGGTTTTAATGGGTTGTTATTGATCCAACAAGGACTGTTTCGAAAAGTTGAGATTGGGGCATTCGGAACATACCCAGAAAGATATAAACCTCCAGATGAGCCTATTTCTGAGTATCAAACCATCCCTTTAAACAAGATTGAAGACTTTGGTGTACATTGCAAACAGGTTAATTTGTTTTCCATCAACTCCTTTCTGGAAATGATGGTTTAAAGCTGGATAACTTAAGCTGGCTGTTTTTGCAGTATTATTCATTGGGCATCACGTATTTCAAATCATCACTTGACTGCCACCTTTTGGATCTGCTATGGAATAAGTACTGGGTGAATACTCTTTCCTCATCGCCTTTACTGGGGAATAAAGACTATGTTGCCGGACAAATTTCTGATCTAGGTATGTCTAAAGCTATTCTTGAGAGATATGGAGGTTCTACATTTCTCCTGAATTACTTAAATAGTTACTTAAAAAGCCCCAGGAATCTATGATGTTATGGGTTTTAATGGGTTTCATTTTTTAAATGGGTTTCCATGGGTTTCATTAGTTAAATCTGAAGATGCCCCAATTTAGATTCAGGAAACTGTTTATTTCAGTTTGATTTATGTTTATTTCAGTTTAAACAATCTGTGTTTATTTAGATGCCCCAATCTGTGTTTATTTCAGTTTAAATGGGCTTGATTTATGAAATGTTTGATTCTTTAATGGGAAATGGGTGCTAATTCATGAAATGGGTCCTAAATACTTTTGAGTTTGCTAAATACTCTTGAAATACTGATATGGGAGTGGGGACAAACTCAATTTTCCTACTATTTTGAACAAATTACACCCACAACAAATTTAATGGGTGTTTGGACCATATGAACAAAGATTAGAATTTTTTTGTTTGTTGAAATTGAAATGAATGTGATGAAATCTTTAGATGAGATTGATAGTTTAGAGATGAAGTAGAAAAATAGTGATATTGTAAGGGGGATAAAAGTGAAATTAACCCTTGGTTGCTAAATGTTGTTTTTTTTTGTTTGTTGAAATTGAAATCTGTGATGTTATGGGTTTTAATGGGTTTCATTTTTTAAATGGGTTTCCATGGGTTTCATTAGTTAAATTTGAAGATGCCGCAATTTAGATTCAGGAATCTGTTGATTTCAGTTTGATTTATGTTTATTTCAATTTAAACAATCTGTGTTTAAACAGATGCCCCATTCTGTGTTTATTTTAGTTTAAATGGGTTTGATTTATGAAATGTTTGATTCTTTAATGGGAAATGGGTGCTAATTCATGAAATTTTGAGTTTGCTAAATACTCTTGAAATACTGATATGGGAGTGGGGATACACTCAATTTTCCTACTATTTTGAACAAATTACACCCACAACAAATTTAATGGGTGTTTGGACCATATGAACAAAGATTAGAATTTTTTTGTTTGTTGAAATTGAAATGAATGTGATGAAATCTTTAGATGAGATTGATAGTTTAGAGATGAAGTAGAAAAATAGTGACATTATAAGGGGGATAAAAGTGAAACTAACCCGTGGTTGCTAAATGAATCTTCAACCAGTTTGGTGTGAAATCGTGGAATTTATCAAAATTAGAATTGCATTTTAGGTGAATGGGTAGGCCAATCTCTATCATTGCAACATGAATGATTTTCTACACTCTCTAGAAGGGTTGAAATACACCAGAATTAATTTGTAGCTCTATTTTTGTTGGTAAAAAATTAAAAAAAAAATGCATTGTGTTTGCTTAATAGGCTCACATTAGACAGCTTGATACTTCCTAAGAACAATGATTGATCATTAGACAGCTTGAGGACTTCCAAACATTGAGGTAAGAATTTGATTTGTATTCTTACTGAAGCAGTGATTGATCATTGTTATTTAGTGATTATTTCTTTGGTTGGTTGTCTAACTTCACTATACAAATCTAGGAATTTTATCATCCATCATGCTTGCTATAGGTATGATTTGTAGGTATATGATTGAACACAATAAAAATACATATTTTTTTGTGTGTCATGTGTCATGTGTTAATGATGAAATAAAAAAAATCATTAATACAAATTCATTTGATGAATGAATGTGTTAATAGTTAGGATTTGTATAGTCAAGTTAGACAACCATGGCTTTAACACCTACCCAAAAAAAAAAAGAAACCATGGCTTTAAATTTTTATTCTGTTAACTGTTAGGATTTGAATCTTTTTCAGTTAATTGATTTTGAAATTCATGACTTAATTGGCTATTTTCAGTTAACTGATTAGCGAAGGTCTTTTTATTTTCTTAGAATTCTCCATTAATATGATTTCAAATTTTAAAATTTTTCCCCCATTTTTTATTGTTTCAATTATGAAGTTATTTTCGAATTCCAAGTATTATTTATAGTAATTTTGTGTTTGGTTTTAGATTTTGATATCTACATTTTCAACTCTACTGTACAATAATTTTTCTTATCAAAATCAGATCATTGATCTACAGGTAACATATTATTAGCTGAATGAAGAATATTATATACAAAGTTCCAAATTGAAATTGTATTTGTGTTTGTGTTTGTGTTGGAAAAATTAAACATGTTTGATTTCTGAAATGTGAAATGGGTTTCATTTTTAAATGTGTTTTGATTTTTGAAATTGCTTTCACTTTAATTTTTCTTTTTAGTTTTAAGTACGAAAGATCTTTTGTCCTAAAATCAATGCACAATTTTATGTTGAGTTGGAGTGTTGTAGAGAAATTATCAATGCATGTAAGGATGACGGAGGCATTGGAATTTGGTGAGGAGAATAGTTCTAAAGGCTCTATGAATAGAGGTAACTAAGATTCCATCCTTTTTTTGCTTCTATTTTTTATTGTTTGTACATTCATGTCGTAAGTTGATGATTTAATCTTTTACTCGATTTCCATAGTTCAAAGACCAACTTCTTCATGTCACTTGGCATAAATTACAACCTATTTCCTATTATTTTAATTAAATTTATTGTTATGCATTCCATTGTAAGGATTTGGGTATAATTTTGCAATAATTGAAGTTAAAAATAATTGGTTTTGCCACAACATAATTTCTGCTACTACAATGTTCACCAAATGCTTGATAAATTGTTTGATAAAAAACCATTTTTATATGTTCGCCAAATGCTTCATAAATTGTTTTTCTATTTGATTTGTTTGATGTGCTTGTTAATTCACAGGGAATGGAAGGTGAAAGGAGATTGATTGAATGATCAAACTTTTGGTTGGGGAAAAAGTTCCACTCTGCTAAACTTTTGACTAGGGTGAGGAAAAAGTTCCCTTTACTTGATTAGGTTGAATTTATGAATTTATCTATTTTTTGGACGATATTCTCTTTACTAATTATTTTTATTATTATTTATTGTTGGGGAAGACAAAAAAAATAGCATTTTTTTGTTTTTTTTTTTTGTTTGCATTACTTCTAAATAGTTTGAATGCTCTCAATTGGATCTTAGTTGTGAGTTTATGAAATCTTTCTTTTCAGATTGTGGTTTGAAGATTTTTGAATATATATTTTTTTTGAATCTTTTGTGCGATTTTTTTTTTTATTTTTTTGTGTTTTGAATAGTTTGATGTGTTTTTTTGAATAGTTTGATGTGTGTTTTCAAATGGTATGATTGTTTAACACCTACCCAAAGGAAAGAAAACTACCCAAAGGATAGTTTAACACCTACCCAAAGGAAACAAAACTACTCAAGAAAGGGAATAAAAAATACACAAATGGTATGATTGTTTTCAAGTTTGTTTTGGAACATGTATAAAGAAAATCATGGGGGGAATGTGATATTTTGGAGGATGCATAATCTCTGTGTAATTTCTTTTTTATTGCAAAGTTTGTGAAGATGGACATGGTGCTTTTAATGATGTTCAGACTAAATTATGCATCCTCAAAAAATTATAAAGGATATTTTACAAAGATATATAAAATTTTGCAAATAGAAGAGAGAAGTAACTAAAGTTTAAAAAAGATCACAAATGATGAAAGAATGAAATAAATTGAAAGTGTATTTTAATTAAAATTGTGTTTAAATTATGATCAAGTCAAACTTTTGTAGGATTGGTTTGAAAAAGCTAGAGCTCAAGAGGATAAATAAGTCTACATTGCTCCGATGGAATTGTAATAAGGTATCCTTGGTCCACATTGTTTCAATATTTATTTTTCGTATTGTTTCAATATGCTAATGTTATTGTTTTTTAAATATTAGATTGTTGTGCATGCTCCTCATTGAAAAAAGTACACAGAAGTTGATACATGGACATTTCAGAATGTGATGGAGAACAAGTTTGAAGGTGTCAAAGCACTTTAGAGGCGGCCAAGTACTTTTTGTAAAAGAACAAGTTTGAAGACATTATACGGCTTACATTTTGTAAAGTTGACAAATATTTTGTAAAGTATATCCTTGATGTTAACCACTTTTGTAAAGCTTCCTACTAATATGTACTTCATTGAATTTCTAATATTTTTGTAAAGTGTGGACAGCAAATTGCCCTTGAAAATTCACTAAATTTAGTATCTTTGCATATTTTGGTGGAAGTCACATATGCCTGACATGGATTTTTGTGAAAATTTAGTGTCTATTGTGCATGAATAATTTATTAGTGGGTTGAAGGAGGATGTTATAGTATTATTGCCCCTTAATTTTTATATACTTTTGTCACGACCCAAACCCGGCCCTATGGGTTTAGCACCGTAACCGGCCAGTAATCCGAGATTACCGAAGGCCTGCTTAACAGTAATACAGTAAAACAGAGTACAGGGCCTGGCGGAAGCCAATACAGTAAATAAATAATGTCCATTGAGCTGTGACAGTCTGTATGCCAAAAAGATTTTTCATGCATTCATACATAAACAGTACAGAACAGTATGTACAATATTCAATCATTCAGATTAGGGACTCAATCCCTACATAACAGTACGGAAACATTACAAATCCCGAGGAATTCCTTCCTTTTCATTTTCATCACCACAGTGTTAAAAAAGTTTCGAAGAACTTAGGTCAATGCAATGAATTCGAGGTGCAGAAGAGTAAGTAAGATGCTCCGCCGTTTCATTCAAATTTTCTGGCATAACTAGCTCGAAGTAGCAATAGGCACGAAAAACATGATAGCCTCAGCTGTTTCATTCAGATTTCCTGGTTGCAACTGGCTCCATAGCAGAGACAAACTCAAAAGAAAACAAAAGGGTAATTACAAAACAAAACAAAGGTGACGTTTAGTCTTTGACCCTTATCCATGTTCCACAACATTTGTTTTAGCCTACATGACATGGTTTCTTGACTTCTTATCAAAACCACGGTTGTCCTCCTCAATTCTGAGCTGCACTATCAGTTCCTCCAATTTCATCTCCTTGCGCTTATGCTTCAGATAATTCTTGAATTCTTTCTAGGATTATGGAAAATTTTCAATGATTGCCACTACTTGGAAAGATTCATTGAGAACCATCCCTTTCACATGTATGTCATGGAGAATTAATTGGATATCTTGAACCTGGCTAATAACTGTCTTAGAATTTATCATTTTAAAATCCGGAAAATGGCCGATAATAAATTTCTTTGTACTGGCATCCTTTGTCTTATATTTATGATCTAGAGATTCCCACAGTTCTTTAGCAATGCTTTTGACATTATACACATTGTACAATGTATTGTTCAACCCATTGAGGATATAATTCCGACACAGAAAATCACCATGTTTCCATGCATTGACAGGGGCAACCATTTGCCAGTCAATTTCTCCTTTGTGTAGTGCCAGAGCTTTTTCATGAGTGAAGCGAGCCAAATTCAATGTGGTAAGATAAAATATCATCTTTTGTTACCATCTTTTAAAATCATTTCCATTAAATTTTTTTGGCCTCTTCCCATGATTTACCAGTACTGCCAGAGTCATCACTAACATAACAGATGTGGGGGTTTGAGTGATAATAGTCTTAGTACTGTTTATTTCAGTTGTCATAATTCTGACGAAATAATAATACATCAATCACAAATTTATCAACAATTCAAACATGCATGCATGAATTATGTTCTATTTCAACATGTATGAACTAAAACAAGACTTAGCTCCTTAATTTGACATGAATCATGCAAGAACAAGCTCAATTCATAAGCAAGAGGGTAATTACTCTACCTTAGGTCTTGAATTAGAAGACTAGGAGCTCAATTTAGCAATCTACACTTCAATTCTCTTCAAATTCTAAGCAATATTGAGATGAACTCAACTCCTCAAGTCTCTCTCTCTCTATGGTCGGCTAAGGGTCTCACAAATAGGCTAAAGAAATGTTTGATTCAATGTATAAGGCTCAAGTGTGTGTGTGAGATAGTGGTCCACTAGGGGTAGTTCGGTAAATAAGGCCAACTCTGCAATTGATCAATATTTAATCTAATTTAATCATACCTAATCAGTTTTCAGGTAAATACACCATAAAATCATATTAAATATGACGATCATAATACACTAACCCATTTCCGGTTCGGCCGCCGATAAGGCCTTCAATTAATAGTTTAAACATAAAACACGAACAGATCAAACAAACAGTCAACAGATAAAATGCAATTCAAACAGATGTATTCACTCAATTCAGTTTCAATTTCGGGCAGTCAGTTCAGTACCTTAATCAGTTCAATTCTCAGTCAGTTATCAGTCATTATCAGTTCCGTTTAATAGTAATCGGTGATTATCAGTAATCAATCAGTCATTAATCAGTAAACAGTATGAGGGTTGTTACAACTTTAGTTCCCCATTCCCCTTATAATGGTTATGAATTTTCATGGTTTCTTTCTGAATTCATTTTTCTTTTCAAGACCTCTGACTTTCCAACACAGTTGGTTGTGAAATTAGCTTGGATTTGTTGTATCATCCATGATATTCTGGTATTAACAATAAGGTTAGTCTTTAAAGTAACTTGGGTTAGTTTTATTTCATTTATTTATAAGTAGTTAGTTGAAACTGTGAAAAAGTTTGAAGGATTTGAAGTATTCCTATTGATTTGATGTTTTATTTGATTGATTTGAATTATTTCTTAAATAGGGCTAATTTTGAAAATATGTTAGAGAATGAGGTGGGAACTTTTGAAGACATCACCCCAATTATGTGAATGAGGTGGGAAACCTACATTCATGATAAATTCATTAAAAAATAAAAAATTTGAAATTTATTAGTTATTTATTTCAATTTTCTTTATATTTTTTGTTCCTGTTTTATGTGAAATTTTAAATTGAAGTGATATTGTCATTTTAAATTAATTTATTATAATTGAATTTTGTAGCACGTATTAAACAAAAATTGTTCACAGTGCCTTCAGACACGGGTTATCCCTAGTACATAAATATGAGACATATATATATATACATAAAACCAAAACAAAACAAAAGAAACACTCATTGGAGGGTTCGAACTCCTGATCTCGGGCTGTCTCTTGGCCCCTCAACCACTGAGCCGAACCACTGGACCATGCCACTCTTGTGACTAGATATGCAAACAAATATGTATTTAATACATAGATATACAATACATATACATATATATATATAATTCTCCCACCTCTCTCTCTTCTTGGAAAACCACGTCTGACACACGGCCTCACTTTTTTGTGTCAGCCGGTGTCAGCCGGCTAACAAATGCCTCGGCTCTCTCTCCTTTTTTGTCTTTCTCTTTTGTCTTCTTTTCCTTCTTTGTCATTCTCTCTTCTATTCTTCTATCTTCTTCTTCATCTTCTCTTCCGTCTTCGTCTTCTCTTCTGTCTTCTCATTCATCACTCTCTGTTGTCTCTTTCTTCTCTTTTGTCTTCTTCTTCATTACTCTCCTTCTTCACCACTCCTTGAGAGAGACAGAACAGAGAGACTTAGAGAGACAGAACTCAGTTTGCTCTTTGCCATTTCTCTACGATTCCTTTCTCTTACACCTCTCTCTTTTCACAAATGACTTTGTCACACCCCTTACTCTTTTTCCAGACCTTAATGATCCCATGAGTTCTCTTGGACAGAATGCCCCTTCTCCTACTCATCCTAACCTTCCTATACTTACAATCGAACAAATAATGACTGCTCAAATTGACATTGAAGCCAACCATTACACGCTGAAGTCGTGTATGGAGACAGTGGCTGCGGTCACTAACTTGTCTCATCGGCTGCAAAACAGGACCTGCGAGGTACATTGGGTCAACGCCGAACTCTCTCTGCTCCAGCATATGTACAAGGATGAGTGAACAGAGATTTGCGCACTGAAGGCGAAAAATAAAGAGCTAAAACGAAAATCCACCGTCATGGCCCGATTTAAAGCACCTTCGTACTTTGCTTTTGATGATTAGCGAGGGGACAACTCTCTCGACGGTCTTGTAAGCACTGAGGCAGGGCCTTCAAGGGTTTCTTCAGACGAAACCAAGAGAAAGAAATTGGCAGGAGAGCCGTCCAAGTAAGATCGGCGTGTGACCGTCATCAGAGGTCGGCTTGTGGCCATTGCCGGAGAAGAAAGAAGAACAAGATCCCTCTCTCTCTCTCTCTCTCTCTCTCTCTCTTTATTTTTTATTTTAATTTTCTGTTTTTGTTTTTTTGTTTTTGTTTTCTTCTCTTTTATTTTTTGCATATATGTTTGTACAAATTTGATCGGGGTTAATCCCTAATATTAATAAAATGAGTTTGTTTTTGTGCAAATCTGAATGGCAAATCCGAATGGTATGAATATTTGGATTTTAGGAATAATCTGAACTGAAAATTGAGCCTTTCACTGATTATAACACAAAATAAAACTCAAAACCTGATAAATTGGACGCAAAATGGACTCTAGACACAAAATGGACACAAAATGGACTCAAAATAGAGCAATACCAGTCGATTACTTGGTCGGCCATTCATCGGAAAAATATCGCTGGCGATGAGTACTATACATTTTTTGGCGACAAAAATTCAATATGAGTACGGGACACGATATTAACTTATTCTTGGATAAAATAAAAAACAAAACAAAAATCTCTATTCACACACAATTTTGAACACACATTTTAACACTCTCTCACACATTTTTTTTAACACTCTTCTTTTTAAAAACCCTCGTTTTTTTTGAACACTTTTCTTTTCTTGATTGTATTTTCTCACAAACACATTTTTTTTTTATATTTTGTTTCTCAAAAATATTTTTGTTTCCTCAAAAACATTAAAATTTTTGAACGCTCCAAGTTTTTTGTATCTTTGTTTTTGATTTTCTTTTTCTTTGTTTTACATATATATATATATATTCAACTTAAAACAAAATAAAATAAATAAATATAGAAAACAAAGGAAAAGAAAGTAGAACAACAACAAAAAAACACAAAACTAGAATTTTCATCAAAGCCCGGCCGGGGCTTGGTGAAGCATGGCTGGGGATCCCGATTGTCGGCCGGCCTTCGATGGCGGTAGGGGCAAATCGGGCAATCCTTCGCCATTTTTGTTTTAAAACAAAAAAAAACCCTTCATTTTT